ACACAGTTGAAAATACTTTAAAATGCATAACTTAACATAACGTTGTATGTATAGGGTTGAAATCTTCATTGCATACTTACCTACTTAGAATCTTTCAGCGTACAATGTTTAATATTCAAAATATCGACAAAAATGTGACTTACAATAAAGCCTGAGACACAGTTTATATATATATATATATGTGTGTGTGTGTGTGTGTGTGTGTGTGTGTGTGTTTAATATAAAAGGCTCAAACACTAATATTCCATGGTTATAATTTATTACATTGGAATCAAAATCACGATCCAATTTTGTAGGTCTGATGAATTGGATCGTGATTACGATTCCAATGTAATAAATTATAACCTTGAAATATTAGTGTTTCAGCCTTTTATATTATATTCTTACTCTATCCTGGATATTGAGTTCTACCTGGATTCTATTCTCTTGTAAATTTATATATATATATATATATATATATAGAGAGAGAGAGAGAGATTGATAATATTAGTGGTCAATATACACATACATATGCAATCATATATCTAAAATATATAAATGTATATACATACATACATACACCTACATATATATTTGTATAAAAAATAATTCCAACAGGATAGAATCCGTGTAGAACTCAATGTCCGGGACAGAGTAAGGATATAATAAAAAAGGCTTAAACACTAATATTCCATGGTCATAATTTAGGTCTGATGAATTGGATCGTATTTACGATTCCAATGGAATAAATTATGACCATGGAATATTAGTGTTTAAACCTTCTTATCATATATATATATATATATATATATATATATATATATATATATATATATATATATATATATATATATATATGCATATGCATATACTTATCGTAATGTTGGCGTAAATATATATTATCCTGGGATTGCAGTTTTATAATTTTGAGAATTATATTTGACATTTAAAATAAACGGGATTTGTATATACATGTGTAAAAAAATTAAATAATTATTTTCAAGTTGTGTATATAATTTTTTTTTTTTTACTTGTTTAATATGTGCCATATTTATGTCATAGGGAGCTGTTAGAATGTGTATACATTTTGGGGACACCTTGTATATAATCAACAGTGTGTTCCGCATCGTCTTTTGGTCCCCGGCGCTATTACGTAAAACGCCATGAACGAAAAGGACGATTTCTTTTGCTTATTCGTTTTTACTAATAAAAAAAAGGACAGATGTGTCAGTTCGCGTTCTAATAGATAGCGAGAGGAATGGCATCACAGAAACGCATTTGATTCGTTGGCTTAGCGTGTGGTCTTCGCCGGTCAATCCAACCTGGGTGTGGGAAGAGTATCGAGACTACAAAATTATTGCGGTCCTCTGTAGAATTCGCTCCGTTTTGGACTTATATCCAAAACCCAGACAAAAGCAATCCATTACTGTCACAATACCAACTCAAAAGACACTCTGACCAATCGTTACCCGACACTGGCCTTCGCATTCTGTAACACATTATGTTTCTCAATTCGTAACACGAGATACACCATTCAGATCATATTTAACTATTTGGTCACACTACTACAGTGTAACCCGGATATAAGAGACCCGGATATAAGAGAAACCCGGATAGATATAAGAGATATTTTCTCTGGTCCCAAATTAGAGCCCATACTTACCTAAACAAAATAGACCAAACCCGGATATAAGACAAACCCGGATATAAGAGAGATTTTCTCTGGTCCCAAATTAGAGCCCATACTTACCTAAACAAAATAGACCAAACCCGGATATAAGACAAACCCGGATATAAGAGAGATTTTCTGGTCCCAAATTAGAGCCCATACTTACCTAAACAAAATAGACCAAACCCGGATATAAGACAAACCCGGATATAAGAGAGATTTTCTCTGGTCCCAAATTAGAGCCCATACTTACCTAAACAAAATAGACCAAACCCGGATATAAGAGAAACCCGGATATAAGAGAGAGTTTCTCTGGTCCCAAATTAGAGCCCATATTTACCTAAACAAAATAGACCAAACCCGGATATAAGAGAAACCAGGATATAAGAGAAACCCGGATATAAGAGACTTCTTCTCCGGTCCCGACAACTCTCTTATATCCGGGTTACACTGTAGTAATAAAAAAAATACAAAATATAACGCATGCCGAAAGAAATTTAACATTTAATTTATTGTCTAATAATATATTTATTCGTAGTTATTTGTTAATTTCAAAATGTTATAACCTCAAATATAGAAAACGTGAAGATTGCAATCAATATTTCATTGTCTCAGTTCGATCTTCATATCAGGAGTCCCGAAGATCCATTAGACTCGTAGGGGCAGTATATGTACTACAGGCGTAGAAGCAGTGATGTGTCTTGAGAAAGATAAAATCTTCAGTTTGGTTAACGAAAGAAATTATTGTTACCATAGAAACAGAATTTTAAAACATTATATAGTTTACTATTGGTAAGATGTAAATAGATCTAAATATATTATTTAATTTAAGTACTGAAAAGATTTCCTAGATATTCAAATAGAACCGTGATATTCTTTCACGGCTAATAAGTGCAAAAACATTCTCTTCTCTTTCCTCCGCTATTGGTAAATCGCAGGACAGATTGGGCTCTATAGCCTTGGGTGGCAACTTGTATCTTTCCTTCTTTTTATGTGTCATGTCCTTTTAGGACGTAGGCGATCATGGCTCTCCACTTTTCTCTATCCCTTGCAGCTCTCAACAAGTTCCATCCCTCTGCCGCCTCCTCAGACCACGTTCTTTCATCCTCTTACTTAAGCCCGCTAGGTATATCGTGCGTTGTTTTCCCGTGTCTCTTTCCCTCTGTTCGACCCGTGAGTATCAGATTCTCCAGGTCATCCTTCCTCATTGCATGTCCCAGAAACTTCAGCTGCCTCTTCCTGGTGCTAAGTATAAGATTCCACCTTGTTGGCATCATCTCTAAGGCCACATCATTGCTCACACGCTAGGTCCATGATATCCTCAGAACCTGTATCGACATCTCCGTTGCCTCGAGTCCCTTCTTCATCTTTGAGGAGATCGTCCAAAATTCGCAGCCGCAAAGGAGGACAGATGTCACATAACAGATAAGCTGTATAAGATAAGAAAAACTGATTTCAAACCAAACTGAAGATTTTATCTTTCTCAAGACACATCACTGCTTCTACGCCTGTAGTACATATACTGCCCCTACGAGTCTAATGGATCTTCGGGACTCCTGATATGAAGATCGAACTGAGACAATGAAATATTGATTGCAATCCCCACGTTTTCTATATTTGAGGTTAAAACATTTTTACGAACCATGGCGATATTTCTATGCTTGAAATTAACAAATAACTACGAATAAATATATTATTAGCCAATAAATTACATGTTATAGAGACGTATCTCTCTTATTAATACATTGACGATTGATTATATATTGCATATATAAACGCTTATTAAATGATTAACTATTGAATATATATTAACTATATAAACTTTTATTAATTGATTGGCTATTGGCTATTGTTGTGGTGTCCTCCCTCTAAAGATTCTGTGTTGGACTCTTCCGCCTACTATAAGATTAGTAGGAGAGAAGGCCTTGGGGGAACAATCGCATAGATTGTTCAAATTGTCAAACTCCCTGCCACGGCGGAGAGGAACTCGGACGAGGCTTTGCCGCGGGGGAATGTTTCGTCCGGGGAAGTAGACAGGTCCTGAACCCGTTTATGCGGGTTCTAAAGGAATATTTTTGGCCGAGCCTACGGGCTCGGAGAACCCACGGTAAACTCGGCATTGTGTTGCATACATCCCTCGTGGGGGGTGGCTGTTAAATATAACAGTCGAATAGATTGAACGCTGGGTCAATCGACACACGCTTACTTGTCGTGTAATACTCTTCTGTTGTACTTACTGTTTAATGTAATATATATCTGCAGCACTTGTTTTGTTTTTCTTTAACCATTTACTTGATCACAACAGTTATATATTGACTATATAAAAATTTATTAGTTCATTGACTATTGATTATATATTGACTATATAAGAATTTATTAGTTCATTGACTTTGATTATATATTGACTATATAAAAATTTATTAGTTCATTGAATATTGATTATATATTAACTATATAAGAATTTATTAGTTCATTGACTTTGATTATATATTGACTATATAAAAATGTATTAGTTTATTGACTATTGATTATATATTAACTATATAAACGTTTATTGATTGACTATTGATTATATATTGACTATATAACCTTCTACCGATTGACTATCGACTATATATTATAAAAACTTTTATTAATTGATTTACTATTGATTATACATAGACTCCATAAACCTTTACTAATTGATTGACTATTGATTATATATTGACTATATAAACCTTTACTAATTGATTGACTATTGACACTCTAGCTCTGTATTAAGCACTTTCTGCTCGCCTTGAAATACGTTAATTACTTGCAATTTTGCGTATATTGATGTCATTGATTTGCGTCATTAATATGGAATATATATATATATATATATATATATATATATACAATAGTATGAACTAACCTCGAGTTACGTAATAAAATCTCACACCACTAAATGTTATTGTAAATATTTCTGCAAGAATTATTAGGAGCTGAAATATCAGAATATATTTATCACATAAATGTATATGGAAAACCTTACCAATATTGATTGTTAATAATGTTACTGTAAAAACATTGACAAGCGTCATAAACTCTGACGCAGTGGATATGTATATACCTGCACTAAAAAAAAGCTAATTTTCATTAATAGGAATATCCGGTAAGCAAGAAATTCCATAGCACTCATATTTTAATAAGAAATGTGATAAGAAAAATGCCAAAACGAGAATCATAGGATAATTCTTCTAGTTCTCTTTGATCTTTACAAATTCACGTCATACAACACCTAAAAATTCGATTTCAAGAATCCATTAAGAAGTCTTTCAATCCACACACACACACACACATATCCACGCACATTTTTCTCTCTCTGTCTCTCTCACACACACAATCTTTTGATAGATAGATAGATAGATAGATAGATAGATAGATAGATAGTGAAGAGACATAGGTAGATAATGGAAAGACAGACAGATAGATAGATAGATAGAGAGAGAGAGAGAGAGAGATAATGGAGAGACACAGATAGATAGATAGATAGATAATGAAGAGACATAGGTAGATAATGAAAAGACAAAGATAGATAGATAGAGAGAGAGAGAGATAGTGAAGAGACATAGATAGATAGATAGATAGATAGATAGATAGATAGATAGATAGATAATGAAGAGACATAGGTAGATAATGAAAAGACAAAGATAGATAGAGAGAGAGAGAGAGAGAGAGAGTGAAGATAGATAGATAGATAGATAGATAGATAGATAGATAGATAGATAGATAGATAGATATGTTGCTTTGAAATAAAATCTAGTGAGCAGAGACAATAAGTGTCGTCGTGAATCCGACTTAAATTGGGTAACCTTCATGCTGGGAACTTGAGACAGATTAACATAAATTTATTAAGTACTTGTATATATGATGGCATACGTCTGCCTGTGTCTCTGTTGGCGAGCGTATTTGTGTATGTGTCAATATGTATGCGTGTGTGCCTGCGCATGTATTATATACGTAAGGATTGGTCAAAATGTTTGGAGCTTGATATTGTCATTAATTTACATTTGATTTGAAAAATTCAAACTTTTCAACATTAACTCTTTCCGAACAAAGAAAGTGTTAATGTTGAAAATCGTTATTTTTGTTACGGTTTGATTTCTTTGTTTTGTTCATTGCTTGTATATTTTATCTATGTATGTATCTGTCTATCTATCTCTTTTATATATATATATATATATATATATATATATATATATATATATATATATATATATATATATATATATATGGCCTGACGACTGCGTTTAGCATTAAACAGAATGTCGCCTCTGGCCGATGAGTTCAATGTCCTCATACGCTCTATCCATAATATTGAGCACTTTAACACATCAATATAATATACCTTAAAAATATATTTATATATATATATATATATATATATATATATATATATATATATATATATAAAAAAACATGCATTTTGTTTCGATACATTTTAATTATGGAATTTTCCAACTAACAAATAATCCTTCTCAGATAAGGAGGAAATTCCGTCAAAAATTATCCGAATGTTCATTTCCGAAGAAAAGTACAGAAAATATGATCCGAGGTTTCGATTTTCTTAAGTCATCATCAGGGTAGGTAGAGAAAACTGATGGGTTTCATAGGACTAATAACTGTTGAGATTAAGGGTAAGAAGAATTTTGAGTCGTCGACGAGGTGAGATATGTGTTTTTTCTTGCATAATGTTTTTTTTTTTTTGTTGATGGTTGTTCATGTTGTATGAGTATTAATTCAAGAATGATCCATCTACAAAAGTGAACGCAACGGTCGAGCGAGGAATTTGAACTCCGATCACCGATTCCACTATCTGAAACGATATACATTACTCTACCGACGGATAAACTTACAATTCTCAAATGACCACGCATTTAATGCCGATCAGAAAAATCAATATCCCTGAGTTCGTTTCACAATCAAGAGATTTTTCCGGCTTAGCTACCCCCCTCCCCTTGCGGTCTACTTTGACCAGTTAAACGGAATGAATCGGTGCAGTTCGTTAGAAATCGTTCTTTTTTTGTGGGGAATAGCAGACGTGTCATAAGTGGCCTATGTATATCTCCGCTCTGGTCATCTGTATTCGACAGAGGGATGTGATATTCTCTTGAGTACAGGTAATCAATATTAGTTGCTTCTTGTGCTCCATTTCATCAGTTTCCAGTTGCTGAAATGTTTCAAAGTTTTCTCCAATCTTTCTCACCCTTCAAGACAAATCCTAAAACGATCTTTAGATTTTATCTCGTTTTTTTTTTTTTTGTTTGATTTTTTTTTTTTTTTTGGTTTTGTTTTGTTTGTTTTTTTTACATAAAATTAACGTTCCGTCACATTTTTGCCTTCAGGTGGCAACTGGGGAAAGAACTGGGGAAATTCTGAATTCAAAACAAAAGAGCGAAAATAGATGGACTCTCTCAGACTACTTTGCTCAATACACACCACTGCTACATTACATGAAGTGTCCTTACAACATTTTTTTAATCATTTCAAGGCTATAAAGCCACTAAGACACAAGAGTGTGAACGAATTATGAAACAGAAACATTAAGAAGTGAGACAAATAGAAAAGTAATCAGGAAAACAGTAGATAACGATTGACATTACATTTAAATGTTTGAAGATCAAAACTGACTGGAAAGCATTACAGACGCACTAATGCCTTCATCTTTGTTCTTATTATCACAACGTTTCGACCGTTGTGCCATCCGGACATCTTCAGGTGTCTCTCGATCTTGGCGGTCTTCAGAGAATTTCGAACAGCAGCCATCATTCAAGAAACAATTCCGTTGTCCGTGTCGAATGATATTCGCCTTGTTCTTATTCAGTAATATTCAGTTATTAATGACCCTGTTTCCACAGAGCTTGTATTACCCAGCCCGGGGATTGAACTAACAATTACTGTCACGAAATTCACGAACCAACTGTTTAATCTACCAGACTATTGTCCTGTGTATTAAATAATGAAGAGGCTATTTTGACGGTCCTATTAAAATAGACAAATATGCTTTTAAGCTTATTTTACCAGTCTCGGTAAAATAGACCCCAGGCTATTTTTCTTGTAAATATTTTTATTTATATGAAGGCAGGTAATGTTAATAATAACAACAGACATATTTAACACAGAAGTTTATTTATTTTCACCATCAATTATTTAGACATTTTAAAATCTTTTCCATCATCAATTATTGAAACACAAGTTAAAATCATCAATTATTAAAAGAAATATAGAAGTCTCTGAATATTTTAAGCACTTCAGGAAT